CGGAAGGTCTTGGGCACCGAGGAGGCAACCTACGGTGGCAGCAGATGTGACCACGGATCTGAGCTCAGAGCAGGGGTGCTCCGAGGCAGGGACTTGCTGGAGGGAACTCTCTGCACCCAGGTCCTGCCCCCCCAATTCCGTGTGCAGTCTCCCCTCCCTCCGCCACCCACAGCTCTCCTGCCCTTCAGCCCGAGTCTGCGTGCCACACAGGACTGCATCTGAGCGCAGAGGCATACACCACCTCCGCAGGGCCTGGTGGCCAGTGAGCCCCACATCCCCCACCCCCGGGGCTTCCTGGGCTGTCAGCTCCAGCCCCGGTTGTCCTCTCTGCAGATGGGGAGGGGACTGACCTATTTGCTGTGGCTGTCCACGAATTCGGCCACGCCCTGGGCCTGGGCCACTCCTCAGCCCCCAACTCCATCATGAGGCCTTTCTACCAGGGCCCAGTGGGCGACCCTGACAAGTTCCGCCTGTCCCAGGACGACCGCGAAGGCCTGCAGCAGCTCTACGGTAGGGATAGCCGGGAGCGGGGCCTGGGGGAGCTGCCAGGCGGCTCTAGCAGGGCTGGGAACCCACCCCTGTCTGACTTCCCACAGGGAAGGCGCCCCAAACCCCAAATGACAAGCCCACGCGGAAACCCCTGGCTTCTCCTCCTCCCCCTCCCCCGGCCCTGCCCCCGGACAGGTGAGTCCCCCAGCAGCTGTGTGACCTTGGGTGACCTTCCGTGAGAAAGTGAGAAAGGCTGAGCCCCCAACCTCTGTCCCCAGCCCAGATCGATGTGACGGCAATTTCGACGCCATCGCCAACATCCGGGGGGAGACCTTCTTCTTCAAAGGTGAGTCACTTCACGTGGCACTGCTCCCACACTGCTTCCTCCACTCGGGGCAACCAGAGGGAGGTGTGACCTGTGCTAAAAACGAAAGGTCCCAGGCAAGCCTGGAGCAGCTGGTCACCCTGGCCCTGATGCTCACGGCCACCAACCCTGGGAGAGAGACCCAGGCCTGCCGCCACAGCTCTGGGGAGACCTGCCATCTGCTGCCCAGGCCCCTGGGGAGACCTGCCTCTCTTTCCCCAGGCCCCTGGTTCTGGCGCCTGCAGCCCTCAGGACAGCTGGTGTCCCCCAGACCCGCGCGTCTGCACCGCTTCTGGGAGGGGCTGCCCGCCCAGGTGCGCGTGGTCCAGGCCGCCTATGCCCGGCCTCAGGACGGCCGGATCCTCCTCTTCAGCGGTGAGTGGGGGTGGGCGGCCGGGCTCGCCGCGCGGGGGCTCACCCTGATCACGAGGCTGCCCCCTGCAGGCCCCCAGTTCTGGGTGTTCCGGGACCGGCAGCTGGAGGGTGCAGCGCGGCCGCCCACAGAGCTGGGGCTGCCCCCGGGCGAGGAGGTGGACGCCGTGTTCTCGTGGCCGCTGAATGGAAAGACCTACCTGATCCGCGGCCAGCGGTACTGGCCGCCCGGCCCCCTGCTCCCCGCGCGGCCTGAGTCTTTGGGAGGGGGCCCCTCCGGCCCCAGATGATGTCACCGTCAGCAACACAGGTGGGGGGCGCGGGAGGAGCCCCGCATCCACGTTACTGGTCTTGGGAGTGGGGAGTGCCTGTGGGGGATCGAGGATGGGGGCGCGGGGCGGCTGGAAAGACCTCGGAGAAGCCCAGGGCAGCAGATGGGCGGAGCGGGGCGGGCCTGGACCTAGACCCCGTCTCCTCTCCACAGGTGACACCTACTTCTTCAAAGGCACCCACTACTGGCGCTTTCCCAAGGGGACCATCAAGGCTGAGCCGGACTCCCCCCAGCCCATGGGGCCCAAGTGGCTGGACTGCCCCGCCCCCAGCTCTGGTCCTCACGTTCCCAGGCACCCCAAAGCGACCCCCAAGTCCGGAACTTGCGATTGTCCCTGCGAGATCAATAAGGCGGCTGGTCGGCGGCCCCTGCCCCTCCTGCTGTCCCTCCTGCCTCTGCTGGCTGTGGGCGTGGCCGCCTGCTAAGGGGAAGCATCCTGGGCACAGCAGCCCCTACGCCGGAGGGGACTGCCCCAGCTGGACCTGGGGGGCTGGTGGGGCGCTACAGCGCCTGATCGTCGGTTCCCAGGGGTGGGGGCTCCCATCACGACGTCCTTGGGCGTGTTCTCCGCCGACCTGCGACCCCACCCAGGACAGCCTGGCGCTCTGCTCTGCATCCGCGGAGGCCTGTGAGTCCGAGCGCCGCCGCCAGGGGGCGGTGCGGAATGGGTCCCGGAGCACCGGGCGGGGTGGGGGTAGGGGGGGCGAAGGACTGTGGCCTGGACCCTGCCGTGACGTGCCCTGCCTGCCCGCGTCCAGCGCCGCCCAGCAGGGCGCTTCTGTTCCCCGAACCGCCAGCCCTAGCCTAGGGGGAACAACGCTCCTCCCCGCTCCACCTGCTGCTGAATCCGCTGTTCTCAGCCGGTTCTGCCCACAGCGTCCCGCTGCAGTCACCCTCACCTTGGTAGAGACCCCGACCAGCCCCGGAAACTCCGGCTCGGAAGACTAGCGCTCCAGGTCTCACGGATGACCCGCCACAGTCCGTTGACCTTGGTTTCGGCCATCCCACCTAGGCCATAGAGCCTGAAGCTGGGGCTGCCCATTGAGTCCAACACCCTCCTGCGTGTGAAAAGCCTGCTGGCTCCCAAGACCACACAAGCTTCCCTCCCAGTCGGGGGTCTTGCCAGGCGCCTGGCTCTCAGGTGACAACTGGGTGGAAGCTGGGGTACCTCATCCACCTTCACCAGCCCCCACATTCAAAGCTGTCACTGCCTCTGGAACTATGTTTCTGGAGGGTTCCACAGCAAAATCACCCATGAATCGTAGAAACGCAGATCGTGGACCCTCACCTGCCTCCACGCTGGGCTGGGCCGCCCCCAAACCTGCCTTTTAACAAGCTGGCCCCCAGGGGGTGAGGGGTTGTCAGTAGCCACTTGGTGGGTGTCCATCCTCCACCCAGGGAGCCAGGCTGTGGCCAGCAGTCCCAACCACCAGAGGAATTTTGGAGCCACCAGGAAAACAGCTGAGCCAAGTCATCCTCCCCAACATGAGGGTGGAGAACCTGCATTTAGAAGCTTATCAGGGAGCTGACAGGTGGTGTGGTGGTTAAGGGTGCTGGACTTGCACATAGTTGATCACAGTTCAAGTCCTGGACCTGGTGGCTTGCTTTCTCATTCTCTTTGTTTCTTTCTTTCTTAGAAGTTTTTGCTATAGGGCATGTGTACTCGACAGAAAGCAGAAAATCACCCCCAAGGGGATGGCCACACTGCAATCCCTTCTTCATTCTCCTCTTGGGATCTTGGGCACACACACGTGCCCGGCATGAGTTTAAGCCACAGGGTCCAGGACTACAACCATGGTCAACTACATGGGAGTCTAGTGACATAGCCGTTACACCAACTGCTGGTTCCATCTCTCTGTGTGTTTCTATCTGGTCAAATTAAAAAAAAAAAAAAAAAAAAGAATGAATAAATAAAATTAAATAATTCTTTTTAAGAAATGTATTGGGAGGCCAGCAGTGGCATAGTGGTTAAGGTGCTGGACTCCCACGTGACTGATGGCGGTTTGAATTCCAGAGCTGGCATTTTGCAAATCATACCAGGCACGTGTGTGTGTGTGTGTGTGTGTGTGTGCATGCGTGCGCCTGCCCAAAATCCCAAGAGGAGAATAGAGGGGGAGTATGGTGTGTGGCCATCCCCCTGGGGTTGATTTCTCACTTTCTGTCTCTCTGGCAAGTGCATGCACCTATAGTGTAAATCTCTCCAAGAAAAAGTATTAGGTTCAGGCCAGGAGATGGTGTAGTGGTCACGGCACAGGGTTCTCACATGTTGACCACGGTTTGAGTTCTGGACCAGTGGCTTGAAACTCATGCTGAGCATGTGTGCATGAGTTCCCCAAAATTCTTAGTTGAGAATGTAAAAGGAGGGACCAGCAGTTAGCATAATGACTATATCACTGGACTCCCATGAAGCTGACTGCGGTTCAAGTCCTAGACCTGGCGGCTTAAACTCACGCTGGGCATGAGTGTGCGCATGCCCAAGATCCCGAGGAGAATGGAGAAGGGATTGCGGTGTGGCCACCCCCCCGGGGGGTGATTTCTCGCTTTCTGTCTCTGGCAAGCACACAACCCTATGGCAAAAACCTCTCAAAAAAAAAAAAGTAAAAGGGATTGTGGCCTCGCCATCCCCCTGGGAGGTAATTTCTTGCTTTCTGTCTGTCTCTTTTGCAAGTGCACGTGCCCTATAGCGAAAATCTCTCTCTAAAAAAAAATCACACCAGGTGCAAGGGACCAGCAGATGGCATAGTGGTTGTGTTGCGTCACTGGACTCCCACATGATTGAACACAGTTTGAATCCTGGTTCTGGATTAAACCTCATGCTGGGCACAAGTGCATGCATTTCTGGTGAGCGCACACACCCTATAGTAAAAATAAATAAAACCTCTCTACAAAAGTAAAATAAAATCACATTGGACGCATGTATGTGCATGACCAAGATCCCAAGAGGAGGACAGAGAAGGGATTGCGGCGTGGCCATCCGCTCCAGGGGTGATTTCTCTCTCTGGTACATGTACACACCCTATAACAAAGCTAAGCAGGATCTAAAGATGCGCGCTGGCCGAGCAGGAACAGCGCCTTGCTGTGGGGGCCCGGCCGAGAACCCCTGGGGTGCCCTCCATGTGCTCAGGGAAGGGTCTGGCTTCCTGGGCGTGGGAGGGTTCCGCAGGCTCCTAAGTGCAGGGAGGTGGCCGCTGTGGCACTGCCAAGCTGTCCCTCAGGGCACCCTGTGAGGGAGTTCTGGAAGTCCCTCCCTCTTCACAGGACAAAGTCCTCACCCCAGGCCCTCAGAACTGTACCTTAGAGGACTGGAAAGCGGGAGTGGGGAAGGGAACTGGAGCAGAGCTCAGCTAGAGGAAACGTGAGGACAGAAATCTCCCCACCCACCCCCAGTTCCCATGGGGGATGCCCAGCTGATAAGCCACGGGGG